AAAAAAAAAAACACATTTTTGCTCAGGTGAACAAACTGTCTTAATATGAACAATTGTGTACAAAAAATGAGAATATGTACAATATGTAAGATGAGACCACCCATAACAATCATTAGTACTTCTAAGTATGTAAAAGAGTTCCGTTCCAACGGCGTGATGTAACTCGATTTCTACCGCAAGTCAGAACTACGTAAATAGTTATGTCACTCCCCTACGCTAACACAGTAACGTCATAAACTAGGAAATAAAAACGTCTTACGCTTGGGAGACATAATGAAGGACAAAAAAACAACACAAACTAAAGAAATCAAATGCAGCACAATCCAATGCATGGAGCATGACAAACAAATGTAAACAAAGCCGTCTTCTGCGTATAGCCAATTCTCCTACTTTGCTCACCAACTAGTTCCCACACAAAATTAGTTTTAATGCCGTTAGCGTAATATACCGAATGATGGAGCAAGATTTTCTTAATACATTTTTGGGAGAAGGCGACGTAACCGCCGTAAGTCGAAGATGTCATAAACCGAGGACCTCTTGTACTATATACATTTTCAAATTTAAAAAGACCTCTGTGAGTTTGAACAGTCAGCCGAAGGGATGGTATTCCTTTATGCTCAAGTTTTGAAGCTAGCATCAATATATAGGATATAATGTAATGAATGTAAAGACTTTAATTGTTCGTTACCTCTGGTCATGTGCCATATTACAATATAATTTACGCATTTTTACATTTGCAAATGAGCAAATCTCATTTAAAAAGCCTTGTTTCATATGGAAATCAGTCGTGGAGTTCGGGGATGAAACGAGTTAATTAGTGTGTTCTCCGAGTGTCACTCCAAGCAGACTGATAGGTGATGTCAGGAACACCTCGGTAAATGAGGGACGGGGTGACACAATGGTAGTGCCTCAGGGAAAGATTTTCTTTTTTATTATTATTTTTGCTCAATCCAAGAAATAACACCTTTTGTCATTTGTTCCGAATAATAATCAGCTTTCTCTGCATTACTTGTGATTATCACATTGTCAAAAATAAAGCTGAAATACAGTAGCTGTTAAGAAAATCACGAGGTTTTTCACTCTTTTTTCTCTTATGTGCATGTGCAGCTATAGAGGAGGGGTGTGTTTGTTAAATTGTACCCAGATACAGGATTCACAGTCGTTATGTTGGGGGCTACCAGAAGATTACTGTCATTCGGTCATGTCTAGGGATGTCCGATAATACTGGCCAATCGATATTTCGGCCGGATATTAGCATAATTATGTAATATCTATAATAATCAATATGGGTTCTACCTCCGATAATGCAATGTGGTTGATATCAAAACCGGAAATTAAGTGTTTGGACAATATCGGCATATCGGATATCAGCAAAAAGGTAATATCTGACAAACCTAGTCATGTTGTCAGTTTATTATTATGTTTATTAGTTGTTCTTTGCTTTTTTTTTTACCCTGACAATACTTATGAGTCATATATCAGTTGAAAAAAAAAAAATCAATTTGTTGACCTGCTAAACAGAAAAGTGAAAAGTACACTGACCAGTGCTCTGCATTTCCTCAAGCTATTTTTTAGCCGGGAGAAAAGACCGAGCAGAAAGGGTATTCCACACTTTGCTGTCTGACACAGGGCAGGAAACAATGGAACGAAGCCAAATCTGGGCGCGAGCTGTGAGTTCAAACAAAAGTCTGTGTTCAGTTGAGTACAGGGAAGAACCCACACTGCTGGTGGGGTTCTGCAGTAGAACCGCCTGGAGTCCCAAACGAGAAGAACTCACAGCTCGAGGCCCCCCCTTAAAATGCAGGAGCTGCAGTCTGCGGTGCCACTGTAATATATTTTACCTATTGTTCTTTTATACTTTATACGACTCTTATACTTGGATAATGTCGCCTATAGTTCTTACTGTTTAAGTTTTTAGTTTATGTAATGTGTTTTTTACAAACGCAGTTCGTAGTTTGGAGGCAGACGACGCAAGAACAAACAAACAGAAGTGGCAGTTTCTTAAACATTCCAATCATAACAAAAACAACAATTTATATCAGGAGAAAAACAGGACAGGAACAGAAGGTAGGAAACAACTGTTGTTGTTTTTTTGTAACAAATCTCATAAACTCTTGTTAGTATACCTTGCTAAGATTTAGGGTTTCTTGAAGAAATTCCTGACCCAGAGTTTTTCTCCATACAACAGCCAGGTCAGACTGGGATTTGAACCTGGGACCTCTGATCACAAGTCCCATCCCATTCGCCACGTGCAACCCTGCTATTCCTTGTCATATTTAAGCCCCATTGTAGTGTATACGGTTCTCCCCCATAAAAGATGAAACACATTTATTCATCATTATCCCGTTGCTCTATCTCACACACACACACGCTTTTTCCACAAGTTTCCACAAGTTCCTCGGGGCTCCTGCCTCCCCCGCCTCCCGCAGGATCAGTCCAAGAACGTGTTCATTCTCTCTAAAGGAGGTCAATATGAAGACAGTCTTAGCCAATGAAATATCCTCACTGTTGTAGCACAGCATTTCTCAACTGTCATCACAATTCCAGCTGAATGGCTTTGAAAGATTGTGCAGCACAAGGTCATCTCTCAGTCACTGTGTCCCAGTACTTTCCGGCACATAGTATAGCAATCAGTGAAGGAGTGAGAGGAGGAGGAGTACGAGCTAAGATGAAGTAATCGAACAAAGGACCATTTATTACCGCAGCAGACAAACGCAATACAGAGGAATCTAGCAGTTGTCTTTAGGATTAGAGAGCCAAAGACTGATGTACCAGGTAAACATATGCCGAATATATATATGTGACATGCACATCAAATCATACAATATACTGTATAATTAGTAGTTTGACGCACACAACGTGACAGACTGGAAGGTAATGATTTTCTGAGACTGAACGCATTTCCTCTACGCATCCTCAAAAAACACGTCTATTGAAAGCTTTGTTTGTCTGACCTGACAGGAAACTGACATCCAAGCTGCAAATGGAGTACGGCCTTGAATAAATGTCCTGACAAATTTCAGCTGAAAATGTGATTTGTTAAGAAAACTACAAAAAATAAAAAAATTAAAAATTCAGACCCGAGGTTCTGTAATACTTTTCTGCCTGCGCCGTCGTCCAGTTGAATCAATTTTCAGCTCATTTTTCTCGGGCTGGGAAATATAAGACTGTCTACTGTCACACTCAGTTGCACAAGAGTGAAAACTACAGTGTGTTTCACTGCAGCTGTCCTCACTGAGGCTTTCATAGAAGTTAAAATAACCATGGCGAACTTGGATTTAAATAACTTCTATAATAAATGTTTAGGTTCAAAATTTTTAATCTTCATTTTCGTGCAAAAATGATCTGCAGAAAAAAGCGATAGTGAATTTTGTACTAATTCTGTTATCCACCTGACAGTAAAACTGTCATATTAACTAAGAAAATAGATTTTATTTATGTGTCCCAGAAGGACCAATAGAAACAGGGTCCTCAGTTTATGACGTCCTCGACCTATGGCGGCTACATCACAATCTCCCATAAATTAATGTAGAAAGTCTTCAGCCATCATTCTAACGTACAGCGTTTAAACTCGCTAACTAGTTCACTCGAGAAACTAGTTTGCGAACGGAGCAAACAAATCCATCGTCACACGGTGCTATATGCGGTAGAAGTGGTTTGTGTTGTTTTTTTGGGGAACTTTTACCCTTCATAATGGCTCCCAGGCATAAGTGTTAGCGTAGGTGAGTGACATAGGTATTTATGTACAGTATGGAAGTTCCGATTTATGGTAAAAATCAAGTTACGTCGCACTATAGGAACAGAAATCCGACGTTAGTCGAGCAAAACTGTACTGTTTAACTAGCCTTAGTCAATGATTTTTGGTTCTATGATTGAGAACCTTCATTTATACTACAAATATATAATGGTGTTGACTTTGAACCCGCACATACAGCCATTCAGGACCACGTTTAGTGCATGTTCTGTTAAAAGAAAACTTTTTATCTGTGTTGTCTGGTTTCTAAAGATACCTTTAAACCTTTTTTATACCTTTTTTTTCCACAAAAAAAGACATTTAAACAGACAAAACAACAGATGGCAAAATATATATATATATATATATATATATATATATATATATAAAACAATTTTCTTACTGAGTCACAGTGTATGAACAGTATATGAAACCATAGCTTCCGCTTGCCAAAAACCTTCCTGCTACGACCCATTATATAAAAATCATCCACTCAACCCCTGCAGGTCCTTTATCAGGCTGAAGACACAGCATGGAAATACAGAAACTTTAGCAATTACATCTCTTTCACTGCATTGATTGATTTTTTTTTCCCTTCAAATCACGCTGCGAAACACAAAACACAGCTTTCAGTTCACCCCCCGATTTTAACTGATATGGATTTGCTGTAAAATATTAAATCAGAATTAAAGCGAAAAAAGCCCACGGTGACAGGGAATAATTTAATTGGACTGAAAACATGAATAGCGCTTCCAACGACTCCAATACAAAGAAAAACACTCAGTTTCTCAGTGGTGGCTTGATGTGGATGTAGCGGTGACAGTTCTCAAGGGTAATGAGGCCCAGTCTCACTCTATTACATGGATCCATATAGGAACAAAGGTTGAGTGCAGTGATTTTCTCCTGCGCGATCCATATGTTTGCTGCAAATTATCCCGCAGAATTTCCACAGCGGGTCACAGAACAAGCCCATGTCTCTTTTTCGATAAAGCATTATAAGAAAATATCCCTCAGTTTGAAAAAGGCACAGTGGTCCAGTTCTTACTTTACACTGCGTACTGGCGGTTTAGTAATTGCTGTCAAATCATTAACGACTTTCCTGCTGCAAGGATCTGCACTGTCTCTACTACTGTTAAACTAAGACATTATAAGGAGACTATAATAGCAGTTAAGTAGTTCAAATAGGTGCTGATTATTATTTGTGAGGTCTGTCTGTCTCCCTTCCCTCCTGCCTGTGTGTTAAGTTAATCGGTGCGATCATGCTCACCTGTGTCTCTGTCATTAGTCTCTCTCGCGACACTTGGCGCCCTCTCGCGAACTTGCTCTCAGTCCTGATTGGTTCACTGTTCGTTGTCATGCCATGTCGCTCTTTGTGCTTAGTGTTTTGCTCTTCTGTTGTACTGATCGTTTCCGTCTCGTACCTAAATCCAGGAAGTGAATACATTTACATATCCATTCACATTTGGAGCGTAAATAAACTTCGTGCAACAGACTCCAACCAAAAACGTAACATTTATTGTTCTGATCAGAGAAGAGATCTGCGGTATTAGAACATTTCCAGGGGGCGCCATTCACCAAAACCTATTGAAAACCGCTGCTCTACAGAATATAACTAATAAAAATCTTCAAGCAAAACATGCAAATAAAAATATGAAATCAAAAGCAATCAATGCAAAGACTAGTAATAAAAATGACAAAATACTGCAACTACTGCTATCACTTACTTTCATTGTTATTACTGTATTATCATTATTATGCCAAACCGTGGGGAAACATGCTCATCGATCAGACATATTTCAAAATACAAATTTCCTCTTTTAACAAATCTAGCTCCTACACATCAACTCCCTCTGTTAACAGCTAAAACATGCAATTTGCAAATATCCCTCCAAATGGGGCCCCCTCTGCAAACACGTGGCCCTACCCACAGTGCTTCAAATTCTGACCAGTTATATAATCATTTTCAAACGCCACGTAAGAAAAACCATTCTTCCCTTATAATGGATTAACAACAAGCTGAACCACCAAATTGTGTGGAAGCTGTGAGAAAAAAAGTGCCCATAAATCTGGTAAGTACTCAATGGGAAACCACTAGGTAATAAAATCAATGTAAAGAATTTGTACACACACACACAAAAAAAAAAACCCACATAAAATCAGTGAGCTGAAGAAACAGCGTTCCATTTATACTAAAGTTAATTTCTCTGTCAATATGGTTTTCTTGTAGGTTTTTTTTAGGCGTGTCGTCTCCTGTCAACAATTTTGTGCACCACTTATCACTTCCTAAACACTGAAGTGCACTTTCCTCCTGAATCACATTCACTAATTTCATTTTGTCGGTCCACAGAGCCCTGGTGAGGCATTAGGATGCTGTTGCGACTGACAACTGCCCAGCTGAATCTGTTAAGACACAAACAAGCCAGTGCTCAATAAAGCCTCCCGGTAACTGTGTCCTATAGCATGAGAGAGTGCACTCCTGGGATAGGCAGCAGTGATTTTAAACATATTGCAAGGGTTGTTTTTTTTTTTTTTTTCTCTCCCTGACATTGTGAGCAAATTGCGCAGGCATTCATTATCCTGTAATTACCCTGCTGTTAGCTTTCTGCTAGATTATTCATTCCATACGTTCTCCACACTGTGCTGTGACAAGAAAGGTAAAAACCAACGAGAGCCGCAGATAGGATCAACAACACCTACCTGCACTGCCATCAATAACAAAGGGCTACAAACAGGGAAGTAACCTGTTCAAGGCCACTGCTAAGTGCCCAGACATGCCCGCACACACACACACACACACTCATGTGAGTTCACATAAGACCCAGTATGCAGTACAAATACAACAGGAAACTGTATCTATTTCATATTTTTCATATTGTAAGTATTTTCTTACGTATTATATTGGAAAGATAGAGCAAGTTTCAGTACAGTACTGCAGAATCAAGGGACTTATAAAAAACTTTAATACATAAAAGCAACAACGGCTGTAAAATACTTTTATAAATGATAGTTGATAGTAACCACACAGTATTTTTGACATAGCTGGTTGAGTATGTTGCTGTTTTTGAAGAAATATAAACATTTTCAGCTTCACTTGAACTACTTACATTTTTACTAGTGAACATTATCCTTATCACCATGGTCAGTTTTTTTTTTCTCTCACACGGAGAGAAACATGAGACGTGATCAATTTAAAATGTCCAATTAACCAAATCCTAATTAATATGCAAATCCATACAGTCGAAAGCAAGAGAACTCATCAGTCCTGCACTGCATGACCGCTGACAGCCGTGACCAAGAGAAAAAAAAATATGTAGGAGTAAAGTATGAAAAACAAGAACTT